TCAGTTAACTAAAAATTCATTTTTTTCTACATATTTCTAAGCATTTTCCCCCAATAAAACTCTCCAAATACCAATCCGGAAGCTCGAAAATTCTCCAAAAATCCGCTCGCTTTTTCCACCCCGAAAAATGCCAATGGTAATTAGGCGGAAAGCCGGCGGCTAATTTTCGCCAAATTGGCAGGCTTTCGTCCCGAGTGGCCAAAAGCCCGGCTGGCCACCACTTATGCCGATTGGAACCCCGCGACCCAATTCAAGCTTTTTCTGAAAAATAGAGAATTTCGAGCTTGAGCACCGAATTGAGCAAAAAGCAGCAAAATCTGACGTTTCAAAAAGTTTCAGTAAGCGTCAATTTTTGCTCTTCTCATTGAGGCTAGCTGACACTTTTGTAATTTTTTAATGTTATTGAATTTAAGTTTATAAATTTTGAAAATTTCTATTGCATGTATTCAAATGGTCCGAAAACCACAACACCATCTGCATTCAAACTTTTCCTAAAAAAAAAAACGGAAAATTTCGGTCTCTAACAAAAATTCCGAAAAAATCTTTTAAAAGATTTCAGCGCCCTTTAATTTACGATCGTTGCTATTATGACATTTCCGAAGATTCTCTGTCAAAACCGATTATTTTAGAATCTAAGTCCATTTACCCCTTTGTAAATCTTCAAAATTGCTGTTGGATCTTTAAGAAAAATGTAAGATTTTGATAAACAGACGAGTTCAAGAATTCCGGAGAATAGAGAATTCGGTCTCCCCTAAAACAATACAATTTTTATGTTTCAAAAACTTTCAGTAGGCGTCCATTGTGACTCTTGCTATTATTATCATGCCCGGATCTTCTCTCTAACAAGGAGTGCTTTTTTGAGTCCTCGGCAAAACCTTACGATACCTAGCCCATTCGATAGAGAATTCAATCCTTAGCAAGACTCCGTTGTACTTTTTTTTGCGGAATGGCTATCTCTGATTTTATAAAATTAAAATACTAGTGGCAGTCTCTTACCATGAGTGCCTTTCGAGCAAAAAGAGAGGCTTTCGGGTGCAGTTTTCAAATTTTATAAAATCATAGATAGCCATTCTGCAAAAAAAAACAACGGGGTTTTGTTCAGAATCGAATTCTCTATCGAATGAGCTAGGTCTCGTAAGGTTTTGCCGATGACTCAAAAAAAGCACTCCTTGTAAGCAGGTTAATTTAAAATTTTCGGCATTTCTAGTAGGATAAATTTTCAAACCTAGATTTGATTGTTTTCAAAATTCCATCGTAAAATTAAAATTAGGCCAAGCTTTGCCTAATAAACTGTGTGTTACATCATCCGACCGAATTTTTGTAAAATGATGATTCAGGAAGTGACAGTAGTCATCCAAATTTTTTATTTGTATTGAAGGTTTGTTATCGATGTCGTTCAAAATTTTGCCCGGGCGTCCCAAAGATTAGAGCTTATTTAATTATTCATTTATTTCCGTCTATTATTATTGCCATATATCAATTATATATTTTTATTTCATTTATTATGGACTATTTCCTAACTTGCTATAAAGCTTTTACTATTAAAAAAAATGTGTTTTAGACATGGATAAAAGATTTTTTTTTCTTAAGTTTGGGCAGCCTCATCGGATTTTTCATTTTTAGTTTTAAAATTTGGCGTTTATAATTTTCCGTTTTTTAATGGCCTTTTTATGAAAAGCGGCCCACCACTTCCGCAACCCTTTAAAAAGCGATAAATAGGAGTAAAGACAGTGACGCCCCGCTAATCCGGTGGGCAAAAGCTGATTGTCGGCCCCCCTCTCGGCAAATATGTAGTCGCCAAATTCCTGACCACTCGCTGTCGGCCAGCCATTTTGTACGGGTTTTGTTTTAGTGCATTAAATGTTGCGACATTAGATAAGGAATTCGGGATCTTCCATTTGCAATTTAGCGCATACTCCTCATCTAGTCGATGATATGTTTCATTTCATGGCTCCGCAACACACATTTTTTTTCTTCTTCTTGATTACCATTCTTGATTTTATATACCACGAATTTACATACGTGAATAAGGGCGCGGTAACAGTAATTTTTCCGAATTTTCCGATATTGAAATTTTTCTGAAACTTATATCTTCAGATTTCTTTAGATTTTTTAGGTATACGGTTGTATCTTTTTGAAGTCCTCCTGTCGTCAAAAACTTTGTGGAAAAATCCAAAAAATATCGATCATTCGAACTCTAGCTAGATTTTACTAAAAACATCATTAAAATGATGACTATAAAATTATTAAGTATTGCTGTCCTCCATTCTAGGAAAAAATTCGGTCCCCTCCCGATAATCCGAACCATGCTTATTCTGTTCTCCAAGAGTTACTACTCATGGAAATTTGTCATAATACTGAAATTGTCATGGAACTAATTTTTTAAATTTTCAAGATTTGTTTTTTTCTATCCCACGATTACTAGTGTCTTCAGCATGAATTTATTTTTAATCCGCCTTATTATCTCAATTTAATCCTAGAATTTAATAATAGCTTAAACGATCCTTGCAGAAATTCCCAAAACATACGGCTTTGACGATCCGTCAGTGATATAGTGAAATAATACGCCATTGATAGGAAACCGTCAATGTCGTTTTTTGAATTTTGCCGGTAAAGAAGTTTTTTGAAACTCATTTTTACCAACTATCATTTTTTCTAGGTGTTGGTGCTCAATTTACCATTGAAATTTCTGTTCTTTCTTCAGTATTTGATAGCGAATTAATGTACGTTTACCTCGAATGTTACGGAATATTTGTAAAATGTCGCTCCTCCAAGCCCGCGGATGACTACTTCATTACCATTTCTTTCTCGCTATTTGCGCTTGATAACTGCTCCAGTTTTCCTCCCTGCTTTTTTGCAGTTTATCACCATATGCAATTCCGTATTTTACGACTCGTACGGGGCTTATCAAGCCCTGCGGGACACTGATTTCAGGGGGGCCACCCCGCCATTCCGGGCGGCCCCCAACTACGCTCCCACCTCTCAAAAATGCTTCCGTTTTGGTGAAACACGAATTTAAAACTCTAAAAACCTTGAAAACTAAAACTAATAACTAAAAAATCCTAAATTAAAAACTTTAAACTCTCTACTCGACACTTTAGTCGGTTAGGAACTTCGTGTGCCGCAATAATTATTAACGTTCAGAATTTCTCAATTAGCTCACAGATGAAACACATAATTCCTAAGCTATTTCTATTGCTCTTTTTTTGCGTCTCCCTTGATATTAACGAATGATATACCTATATTAGTGAGTTACCAGGGTTGAAAAACCGCTTCGCGGCTTTTCAACCCTGGCCCCGTCTTCTCCAATGATATTCTTGGCTTTGCATAATTTTCCCGGATTCGGATGACGAAAATGAAAAATGTTCTTGCCGTCCCTTTATATAGGCTACCGCGACTTCCGGTGCATGCTAATTTGATCCTAACAGAGTGGGGTGTCCGATTTTCCATGAAAAACTTAATTTTAATGTCGAAAACATCATATTTTGTAAAATCTAATATGCGTGCAGCCGTTCCCAGGCCATTACGCACCGAATGACGTATCGAACATACCCCTAAGTACTTCCCTTCTTGAGATACGACTGGAACAACCTGACGGAAGTTGCATGCAAATGCACACACACACACACACACAGGAACTATTTTTTTATATATAGTAGGATTTTCGAGTATTGTTTTCCTATTTATTTTGGGGCGGCCGCGACACGTTACGCGCTCGCCTTTGCCTCCTATCTAAAGCCGTAGTCGATTACGCGATTGGAAGAAGGAGACCCGCGCTGCTTTCGCGCTAAATCTATAAAACTCATAGCGAAACCTTGCCCTTTCCCTTAATCCCGATTCCCGTTTACCTGTTCAGATGGTTTCTTTTAGTTTGAGCCACTCGCCCGAACGGAATTGCACTGAACTCGCCGTTCTGTCCCTTGAATTTAGACGAAACATTTTTTTTTACTTGTAGTTCCGGGTGTGTTGATTTGGATGCGAGTTTTTACGAATTTTTGAAATTCACAGCAAAAAAACATGTTTCAACAAAGATGATTGTCTATATCGAAATTGGTTACCGGAATTCCATATCTTTTTCGGTTTCTATTTCTTAAACCTTCAGCTGCTTATAAAAATCAAATTTTTTCGCTCTATTAGATGTTCTACAATCGTTTTTCAAAATCCTATCTTCTGGTCGGTTCTAGTAAATTCTCGTTCCCCCAACACTCCGAACCTTCCATCCTATTGCATAAAAATGAATATCCGCTTACCGTTTAGAATTTTCAAGTTCCTTTTGTACATTAAAAATGGTATTCACTCAATCCTCGAATTTCCTAGTTCGCACAAAACACATGCTTCGAAAAAATACGTGTACTGCGAAAGATCGTTTAAGCATTATGTCATGCTTTATTTTGCAGCCTTTCTTGTATTCTCTTCTATATATAAAATTTGTTTTATTATGTTCTATCTTCGAATAAACTCAGTCAAGCGTCCAGCTTTCATTTCTCTGCTTTCTATAAAATCTATATTTCGAAAACCGTATTTTTCTTGTCATCCAAAAATGTGTTTCGAAAAAATTATGGGCATTGTGAAAAATTTTTTCAGGAATGCCGAGTGCGGATTTCCTTAAAACAAATCCTTCACTTTAAGCGTCTTTTTTATTTATTTTAATTAGCGCCTGCTATGTTATACGACGTTCGTTCAAACTCGCTTTAATTAGATTCCTTATATTTGAAAAATCCATTAAAATCGTCATTTTTCAGCGACAAGCCCGCCCGAAATCAGCGTGGCGTCGGCGGGGCGTCTACAGTGTGTACGTGTCGCTAGTCCACGTGCGTAGTCGCCGATTTCTTACGCTCCAGGACGTGATTCTGTACGCATACGCGCACAGTACTGTCCAGAGTCGCGCCGCGTCGTGGATGCGATTTGGGGGGCCGTGGAAGCCCCCACCTCCCCGTAGGGAGACTGTGCTACAGTACGCTACCGTACGCTACACTACGCCACGATACTGAGCCACAGTTATGGCAAAGGAGTATCAATTCCACTGGAGACCGCCGATACCCCATACGTTGACGCAGGGCACCCTTTTCGACAAGTATGAAGACGTGGGTTTTTGCTTTTATTATTATTTTGAATGTAGGTTTTATGTCATTTTTAATGATTAGAAGACTGAAACTTGCCCTCTTTGCATCAGTATCGCCGTGGCATGTTTTGTGGATATTAATGAACTCGAATTGCTATATTAGCCATTATATTAGACTAGCCAGACAACTGGATAAATAATATTATTTTTTACCGGATCAGAGCAAGCTGATGGTCTAGTATCTTGTCTCGCGTAAGCTACTTAGAAATGAAAGAACTCTAATAAGAGACATTTGTGACTGTTCAGATTTCAAATTTCATCATCTTAATGACACATCCAAGTCTTCGCTTGCCAATTTTTGCTTTTGGAAATAGAGGGTTTCAAAAAATCTTGGAAAAACCGTTGGACCGAATTGAATAATCCACGGCTCTTCACTTACCTAAAAATTTTTTTGGAATGTTTGCAGAGAAAGGGGGTAATAAAAAAAATAAAACAGCTGAGAAAAAACGAGTTTCAAAAAATTGTGCCCACCCGCAAAACTGGTACTGCGTAATTCGATTTATGTACTCCACATAAGTCAAAGTATAATAATTTTCCGAATAAATATTATTAAACATTGATGAAAATAAATATGCGGAACGTCACACAAATTCTAAAATTCTTTTTACAGGACAGCACATGCCTGGAGCTGAACGCGCTGGTGCGGGTGGACGAGTATGGGTTCTACCTGCACTGGATGATCGATGGCCGCGACGCGTTCGTCCTTGATTTGGCGCAGGTGTGCAAAATTACAAAAAAAAAAACTAAATAAATCTATTTAAACAGATCGGGAAATTAATATTTGGATAAAAATAATTTAAAACAGTAAATCCAAAAGAATTAAACGAAACCTAAAAACGCATGCGTTTTGAAAAATGTATGTTTTATCGTTTGTAAAATTGCTCGAAACTTTCCGGCAGGCACGTTTTTAATGCCTTGATGTGTTTCTAACTATTTTGCGCTCATAGTTACTTCCTGGCTCAAAAAAAAACCAAAAACGGAGATCGAGCTAACTCCAAAAATTTTTAGTTTATTACATTGGGAAGTGCAGACTCGCGAACCTCAAAAACGTCAAAAAAATGTGTGTTTTGCTATGTAGTAACATGGTGCGTAAATTCGATGCATTCATAAGTACCGGTTTTTCAAATAGCCCAAAAGATTTTTTGAAGGGAACAAAAGTGCAATTTTGCATACAAAACGGTCATATTATAAACGAATCCAGACAAATAACCAACGTTAAACATGTTTCAATTTTTGGAAAGTCTGTTCCGGAAATCTGTTTATTAATCCGCCATCGGCGAGATACGCCCGTAACTTTTCAACCAATTTTTTAATTTTAAACCAGGGTTGAAAAGCCGCTTCGCGACTTTTCAACCCTGGCCCCGTCCAACCCTATGATATCCCTCGCTTTGCATAATCCTTCCGCGCGGTTATGTCAAAAAATGAAAATCGCGTCCTCTCCTCGATTATATAGGCTGACCCCACTTCCAGCATAGGCTAATTTTTTCCTAACAAAGAGGGCGTCCGATTTTTAAGGAAAAACTTAATTTTAAGGTCGAAAACAATAGATTTTGTAAAATCTGATATGCGTGCAGTCATCTACAGGCCATTACGCGTCAAATGACGTATCATACGCCCCCTTCATCCCTTCGCCTCCTGAGATATCCTCCGGACACGCTGACGGAAGTTGCATGCAAAGTGTCATACACACACACACACACACACAGACACTATTTTTTTATAATTTTAAATTTACACCTGTTTGAGTCCGCGGCAAATCCTTTTCTTTTAAAAGTGCGCGAGCTGCCAGAAAAATTCGGTGCGTTAAAAACATGTGTTTTAATGTTTGGCAAACATATGCTCAACATTCATTTCGATGGTTCGAGCAAGGTAGCCGCTTATTTAATTTTTGATTTTAATATTTTTAATTTACGTTTTCTGGCTACAATCTTTTATTGAAACACGAAAGAAAAAGGAGTCTAAAGAATATGTCAGTCACAAAAACATGTGTTTTATCTATTGGCAAAAGTAATAAAAGCTAGAAAAGTAATAAAATGTTTGAGGAATCCAATTTTCCCCTTCAAGCCTTCAAAATCCGCTAAAAGTCGTATATGCAATTTTTAAAGGTATGGGAAGCCCGCCCGGCCGGCCAGCCGAAAGACGGTCGCGTCGCGTTCGAGCTGGACCAAAGGGGGCCACCGAGGGAGACACTTGAGGAACGGACTGTCTGGATCACTTTTGGGCAGGTAAGGAATCAAACGAAAAGTGTTATTGAGGACCAATAATCTTACGGAAAGTAGAAGTGAAATTGAAACCAATTTTTAAAAGAGTTGTTTTGCGTATTTTGCCCTCGATTAGGCTGAATCCTTTTTAATAGTGTTTTTCTTGGTAGAAATACGGGCCATTTCTCAATTGGGCTAATCTAAAAATTACACGGCATTTGTTTGTTTAAAACAAAAGATACCAAAACAGGTATAGGCATTAAGGACCCATGCGCCTACGGAAAGTATCGGTTAATTGAAACACAATCTTTAAAAGGATTAATTTGCGCCTTTTTTTATCTCGATTAGGCGGAACCCTATTTTGATCGATGTTGGTTGGAACTGGAGCCATTTCACGCTTGGAACAATCTTACAATATTCAGCGCATTTTTAAAAAGTAATGCAAGTGTCGTTTTGTAATGTGTTCTTTGAGACCAGCGGAAAGTGAAATTTAGCTGAAACACCCGGTTTTATATAAGGGGCCTCGTTATTTCCATAACATTTTATATTTTTAATGACGGTTTAACGGAAACGAAAACATAGAAGCAATGAAGATTTATCTGTTTTACCAGCCAGCACGAGTTATGAACTAAAAATAAAATAATAAACCATGATCTCTCATATCGCTGAAACAAGTTTTTAAAATTGTTCATCGCATTTTTTCATGGAATTTTACTTCACGGAACGGATAGGAAACAATTTATGGATATTGATAATGAATAAAACAAATTTGATACTGAATACTTTGTAATTTAATATTTCGTTTTTTAATGTTCAATTAATATAATTTATAAAAAATGACATATTTATAACAAGGAAAATAGTATCTAATTTTCTCTTAGGACCTCGTCAACGTGCAGTCCATCTATTTGGTGGCCCAGGATGTGGAAACAGCAAAGGTAAGCCACAGCAGGACAGCTTATATTGCAGTGCAATTTTCAAATCTCGAATCTGTAGAAAATGAAACAGCTTTTTTTGCGGCAAATTTTTTTTAATTATTTTGTTGCGTATTTAATGCAGACGTTTTTCAGACAGCAAGAGTAATGGTTTTTTTATTTAAACTAAAAACGACTAAATTTATTTCTAAAAAGTTGTTTTAGATCTGGCGCTCCGGCCTCAACGACATTCTGGCCCGCCTCAAAATCAAGCACGTCTGCCCGACGACGAGCCTCATGAAATAGTGAGTTTTTGAGAAACAGATATATTTATCTTCAATATTTAACCACTTAAACTTACCAAATATCAAAAAATTTCGACTCTAAATTATATGCCAGGAAATTAATAATACCTAGATCAAGCATGATATTTTAAAACTCAGTGTTTCAATAACGTTTCTTGTTTCAAAAACTAACCCTATAATTAGTGTGACTTTCGCGGGTCTCCTAAAAGCAATTTGTTAAAAGCTCAAAAAGCTTCGTGAATCCGTGGGCTTTCAAATATCGACAAAAAAATGGTTTGAACCCAGTCAAATCAAATCAACCGAAAAACAATCCTTCAACCTTCAGAACAATAAGCTATCGTGCAAGCATGAATAGTAATTTGTAGGATTTATTTTAAAAAACAAAAACCTAATAAAAAGCCATTAAAAAGTAAGTTTCTAAAAAAAAGGCAACACAATTAGCGAAATCACAAATGTATTTAATGTTTCGGCTTGAATGAGATAAACAATTATCGACGCCTAAATAATGTGAAGTTATCCGAACTTCAGTTTTCGAGATGAAACTCAATGTTTCAGTACAATTAACAATTTGTGGGACTTTTTGCTCATTAATGATCTACAACCGGATCTCTAAAAACGCTCGGCATCTAATCTTTTTGTTAGTAGCTATTTCTGGAACCCTTGATTACGAAAGTGTAAAATAAAAAAATTAGAATAAAAATATCCTAGTAATCTATATTTCGAAAAATCGGCCATTAAAATCAGCGAAATAACAAATCATAAATTTAATGTTTCGGCTTGAAGGTGATAAGCAGGCAAGAGCAGCTAAATAGTGTCAATTCCAGGTCAATCAAAAAATTCAATGTTTCATAGCCACACACAGATTTTTTGCTTTTTAATTAAATTGATGCGTAGACGAAAAATTTGTTGACCAGCGTGCAAATATAACAATTAGATTAAAACGCCCTAGAAATATAATTATTTCCAAAACTCCCATTTTCAGCTGGCGTTTCCTGTGCCTGTCGCTGAACGACCGGCGGAAGATCCCGATCAAGAACATCATCCGGTTGTTCGCTTCCGGAAAACCGGAAAAGATGGTCCACAAATGTTTGTGTGATCTCGGGCTGGGCGGCGATAAGGTATTTTCAATCTTAACATCGGCAAAAACCAATTTTTCGATACAAAAATATCCAATACACCTTGTAATATTGTCGTGAAATTGTGCAACTTTATTTTTTAAATTAAAATATAATAAAAATGTTTCAAATCGTAGGGTTATTCCGAAATTTTTCTGGGTAATAATAGGGCTTGTATAAGACTGTAATATCCAGAAATTTGCATGCGCATCGGCTGTCGTGGTGAACGGTAGTGGCCAAATTACGGCATTTTTCCAGTGATTACTGTGTTTTTATGGGCGATATATTTTTCCGGCTGCATTCTTACTTTTTTATCTTAAAAATCTATATTAAATGAAATTAAATTAGTATTTTTAGCCCGTAATTTGGCCCCTGCTTAATCGAGGTGTCTGCTGCGGCTTCCCCAAAAAATTAGGCCACTACCGCGGTCCTTCAAGCATTAATTGGAATATTGCGATTTACTAAGCCTAAAACACCGCATCATATTGTTTGAAACGGTTCGCAACAAATCATTAAAGTGGTGAAACGATGATTTAAAATTAACAAAATTAGAAACATATTTTTCATGCTTTCACTGAGATAGAAAAGCTTGATTGGCGGTAATATGAGCAGGGTTGTATAGAGAATAATTTGGCTGAGTGGCTTTTAAAATAAGTCCAATAGGAAAAATTCCCGTGGTTTGCTTAGTGATCCTTGTCATTCCTTAGTTAATATTAAGTTAATCTAAGAAATTCCTGAACCTTGTTTTCGCAATTTGCAATTTATTTTGTATTTTATTGCGACCGTCATCTGGCTTGATAGCTAGCGAATCCATATAGTCGAGCCTTCCACCGTCCTTTAAAATATGGTAAAACCGGTTAAAGGCAGGTATGCTTTAAAGTATCACACTTTACGTACGGTAGTATTCAAGTTTTGAGGGATTTTAAAATCGTAATTTCGGCGCAATAGGAACTTTCAAACCTCGCATAACTGAAAAAAGTTGTAACACTTTTTTTAATGTGTTCTGACAGATTTTGGGAAGTGCAGACACCTCGATTCCGTTCGCATCCACGTCCGTCGTAAAGTACCGTAATGCTGTTGTGGTGTGGATATCTATTATTTCTATTTATTCGTTGTACCGTAGTCGTGGTCGTTCCATTCAGTACATCATCCCGCGTGCACTCAAGAAGGGCCTCGGCAGCAAGGTACGCGGCTTCTACAAGTGCAGCAAGGGTGCCAGGAAGCGAAAGGTTTAAATTTTTAAATTATTTAATAGCGCTTATCGATCTTTCTACGAACAACGGATTATTATAAGAAACAAAGGATTTCTTAGGGTTTAAAGGCATCAAACATCGATTTTCAAAAAAACCCGCGAGTTTCAAAAACCTAGTAAAAATCGTCAGTTCATGCTAAGGATTGGTAGCAAGCCCTATTTCTTTTTGTAAAATTGATTTTAACCAAGTTATATTAAATTAATTACATACGAATAATAAGCATACAATCTAAACTTTAGTTGAACGAAAGTTGATCAGCCTTCAATACCATAAAAAATAAATGTTTCAAAAAAGTGAAGAAAGTGGTGACAGATTTTCTCCCAATTTCGCGAAGCTATCCTTCACTTAAAGGGATGCCGACGGCATAGGCATTCGGTTACGCGCTGGAAAGAAAATGTCTCTGCGCCTCTCCCCTGGGCGCGCTCTCTCCCCTGTTGGCTACTTGCCAATTTGTTGATGAGGGGGGATCGACACATGCCGTCGGCAGCCCTTTAACTAAAAAATCGCCTTGACGAATAATTCCCAAAACAGGTTTACGGATTTTCGAAGGGTTAGTGATGGGAATCAGCATGTAATAAACTTTAGTACGCGCTTATTAGATACTGCAAAACAACATTGCACGAAATTTTTCAAATTGTGTTTCCTCTAGTAAAAATGTTAGGTTTCAAAGATTTTTTGACGTCTTGGGGACGTCGCTAAGCACATTTAGAGATTTTTCAATGGCGCAGTTTCCATATTCAGCATTTATTTCCGCCTGGTGTAGAGTGTACCTTTTCCCATTTCAGAATAAAAAACGAAAAGCTTGGCCTTATTTGGACGCGGAAGCTTGAATTTTAGCAAATAAAAATAAAAACGTTAACAACAAAAAAACGTTTGCGCCCGCTATTTAAATTGTATATTTAAGTAAATATTTATTAAGCTTGGGGGTGAGAATAGCACAATATTGCTGGCTAAAAGGATTGTGTTAATTTAGCTTTCGAAAAGTTAAAAAAACTTTTAGAAAAGCACAGTAGGCAGCACAAAATAAAAAAACAATTACAGTTGATGCCCGACAAAATCTTGAAATTAAAGCTCGAGTAGCTAGAAAATTAAGCTCAAAAAGCTGCAAACGACAGTTACCATAGCAAAACAAGCAAATGAAAACTACTGTAGCGAGAGAATCAAGTGAAAGAATTGAAAATGACAATTACAGCAGCTAGCCATCTTCGGTATTTTATTAAAGGGCTGCCGACGGCATGTGTCGATCCCCCCTCATCAACAAATTGGCAAGTAGCCAACAGGGGAGAGAGGGTGCCCAGGGGAGAGGCGCAGAGACATTTTATTTTCCGTGCGTAACCGATTCACTATGCCGTCGGCATCCCTTTAAATACCAATACAATAGTCTAAACATCCAAAAAATTTAGAAATCGCGAGCGGTTGGTTGTTGTACTGTAACGGTGTCGTGACGTATTTTTGCATCAGCATCATCATCATTTTTCTATTTTTGCATCATTCGCATGTGGACATTGCTGAAATTATTTTTTGCTTTTGTATAATTTGTATAAAATCGGGGGGAAAGCGTAGGCGTAGGGCTCACTAAACCGGGATTATGATTTTGTTTCATTAGTGCATCAATATTGAGCGGTTTTTAGGAGCGAGAAGAGCTGGACGTCGACTTATTCACATTCGAGAAATTCTTGCGGTTATACCACAAGATTTGCCCGAGGACCGACGTGCAGGAGCTGTTCGTCAAACTGTGAGTTTCAGAAAAATTACAGTTGAATATTTCGGTTCCGGAATTAATGCAAAGAATCCTTATTACTAAAATATTAAAATATCTAGCTATTAAAAATCATTGAAAATCTAAAAACCCCCACGATTGACCCAAACATTTAGTTTTAAAAAGATTCCGCTGTCAGAAAATGTGAGTTTCAATGAAACATGTGCGTTAGATTGTAATCATTCGTTTTCGATTTTCGGAATTAACTGAAGCGCAAATCCTCGATTAAACCGCGAAAAATCTCAGCTAAAAAAAAACTAAGAATCTTAGAAAACTAAAATTCCCCAAAAAATGTTTCAAAAATTTTCAGAGAAAGCTTTGAGTAAAAAACTTCAATCCCACTCATTCGCCGACGCATCCCAAAATTAAGCTTTTCCTAACTTTCAAATGTAAAGCGTTTTCTAATGCTTCAGTGAAAACACTGAGCTTTCAAGAACCTTTAAAAAACTAAAACCCATCAGGGTTACCCCTAAAAACATAATTTCAAAATGTTTCCGGTGTCAGAAAAGTCAGTTTCCAAAAAAATTCATGTTCGATATTTTTTGGTTTCGGAATTTGTCGTTGAAGGAATTGACAAGTGAAAACTTTCCGCTATTAAAAAACAAAACAACATCCAAAAATAGACTAAGAATCCTAAAAATCGAAGAACTCTCAGCCTTAATCCAAACATGATGTTTCAAAGATTTTCAGAAAAAGCTTTGAGTAAAAAATTCAATCCCCTCAAACGCCAACACATCCCAAAATGAAGCTTTTGCTAACTTTCGAAGACTAATCAACTAATTCAAAGATGCTCTATCCAATACCGGCGAAATACATAAATTTTTGCAATCCAATAAAACATAAAAATAAACTTTAGAATCCTTTTAAGAAATGTAAATCAATGCCCGTGACCCCTTATTTTTCTAGGTTGTTCCTGTGGAATCTAAGATATCCCTGTTAGCTCTTTTCAAAAACAAATTTTCAGGCATAAACAGCTTTAGGAAAAATTCGGCATGAAACTAGATTCAATCTACTTACTGCAAAAGCAGCAGTAAAACAGAATGTTTCACAAAGCTCCATACCTGCACCGGAATTATACATTTTAATTCCGTGCAGGATGAGGCGTAACCAAAACAAAAATAGAAAAACCGTTCCTTTTTAACAATTAAAATCCCGTGCCTAGGAGAGGCCAAGGCTATCAATGTTTGAGCGGATTCTATGGATGCCGCGACACGCAATTTTAACACTTATTCTATTCTTTTTTAGCGTAATTGATTACCACCTATTTAAAGCGTCGGAGCGAAATCCCGAAGCCTAGTCGAGAATCATATGTTCCAAAATGTTGCCTAACTTGTCTCGAATTCACAACTTTAATCATCGATGTTGCTTCGTGGTAGACTTCTTGATAAAATAAGAAAGCAAAACTAATACCGTAATCACGATCATTAACTCGCTATTCAGATTTAGAAGTTTTAGACGAAAAACAAAGAAATAATTAGGCTTTAGCATATCCGATCTGACAACCTTAGTTTTGAAACCTTTAGTTTTCATATCCAAAAAGCTCATTAGAATTGAGTTGTAAAAATAAAAACTGTTAGGAATTTGACTGTATTTAAAAGCTAAGCTTTTTTATCAAAACAAAATTAAATTAAAACGCCCCATTGCAGCTCTGGCCAAAAGGAGTACCTGACGAAGGAGCGGCTGATCCACTTTCTCAACGAGGAGCAGCGCGATCCTCGGCTCAATGAGATCCTGTTCCCCTTCTTCGACAACGACCGCATCCACACACTAATAGCCAAGTACGAGACTGACGACAACTACGTTGCCAATGGTGGGTGGAATTTTGGATTTTCGACTTTTTGGAAATTTGCAAAAAAATGCTTCGTCAAGAGTTAGTGTTTAGGACATCGGATTTCACGATAATCCTCTGTTCTTTGTCTCTCCTTCAGACCCTTTTCCCCACAAACGCGAGTGCAATTTGTATTTTTTTCACATTCTGCAGATTAGCCCTACCGGACCCCAAAAATAAATAAAACCGGCTTTAACCTTGTAAGTTTGTATTTTATCCAAATTCTAAAAACACCGTCGGAAAGAGGAGGGCCGATTCATCCCGCCTGACGGAATTAGAGAATTTTATGCACGGTAAGGCCCTCAAATCGGGCCTCGAAAGTGACATCCGCACACAAACATGCAGATAGACACGCCAAAATTAGATAAGGCAAGATATGATAGTTCGTTCTAGCAATTTTGCCAAAAAAATTTTACTTAAAGGATTAGTGTAGCAGAGATCGGGCTTCAAGATCCTCCACCGCGCTTTTCACTGGAAAGTTAGAAAAATGTTTCGGGAATCTGAACCATGGAAAACCCAGCTTTCTAGATAATAGCTTCATCTCTTCCTGGCCTGAAAAATACAGCTAATGTATTGCGCATTCAGTTTCGAACGAGTCGAGGCTTCGACCGGCCGCCGGTTTAAAACGTTAAAAGTTTGTCCGGCTATTCGAAAAAAAGATGTTGCGGGGATGAAGCACAACAAAATCGCAAATTTTTGCGCATTGCATCGTTCCTCTGTGAGTCATAAAAAGTGCAGTAACGTGAGCCGATGTAATAAGCTACTAGATTTTACATAATTTTTAAACTGATGTTTTTTAGAATTGGCAGTTTTTGAAAAAAAATGTTTGAAAAAAATTTATGGAAACATATCGGAAGGTGGTATTAATGGTTAGAATTCATTATATAGACAAAACCACCAAACACCAAGGAAAACACCAAATTTTCAGGAAAATGTCCGGGGACGCGTTCCTGCGGTTTCTGCTGTCCGACGAGAATGCGCCGGTATTCCTGGATCGGATAGAATTGCATCAGGATATGGATCAACCACTATGCCACTACTTGATTAATAGGTAACACATTATTTGGCGTTATATTCATAATTTATTAAAAGTCAAACTAAAATAAAATTAATATTTATTTGTTAAGCCGTTTTGTTAAGCGGTATTTTTTCATTTTTCGAATGTTTCGCTTATTCTTTACCCTAAAACACGGCAAAATTTCGTAATTACCATTTTACCGAGCCCATGTAAATGCTTTTAAAAACGAGCTAGATAATTAAGAATATTAATTAATTGCTATGAAATATCAAAATTTATAGAAATTAAAAAACTAAGAAATACGAATTTTAATTGAGGAAACCCTGAAAAATTAATGTTTTATTGAAACTATCATATAAACACAAAAATTGTAGCATAATCCGTGGATTTGATTACTCCTGATGATCTTTCTGGTGGCGCATACTTGACAAATACAAATTGCTAAACAGTAGCTCCGGAAGAACTCATTTTTAAAGCTAGAGGCCCTAAAATATAAAGGTTTTATGAAAAATTACCGAAGAGCGTTAAATTTTTTAATTAATTGATCGGTCGGAAGGGTTAATTAAATGTGAAGTGTGTTTTCCCGTACAGGACTCTTAGCGAGGGAAAGCTAATTTGTTTCTTTATTATATATTTTTGAAGTTTTATTTTCTTAGGAGTTACAAAACAAAAATATTTTAAAAATTGGGGTAATTGGTATTAACAGTACAACAGTGATTTATTAAATCTTCAAAATCCAGCTGTTTAGAATACTTTTTAAAATTTTAATTTTGAAATATTAGGATGATTTCCTTTCCCTACTACCGGTTTTGCTTTTTGGAAGAATGCTCTGATGAAACGATGTTTCAAGTAATTAGTAGCTTTAGTCGTTTTGGCCGGGTATCCAATGCCTTGTGATAATGTCGCGGATCAATAACCTAAACTGTAACATGCTTTTTTCCAGTTCTCACAACACTTACTTGACGGGTCGACAATACGGTGGCAAATCTTCTGCAGAGATTTATAGACAGGTAAGCCAATCTTGATTTTGTGGTTCTTTTGCGTTATCGGGGGGAGGGAGGATAAAAATTAAAAAATTAAATCATAAAAAAATTGCCCCGCCCCCGATAATGGAAAAGAACCTATTTTTGGCCGGACACCTCAAAAAAAAATGATTTTTGAGGTAAGCATTGCAGGGCAAAACTCAATTAAAATAAAAAAATTTAAAATCAAACTAATTTATGATTTGGACCAGTCCACCCACTACTCTGATTTTCTTGACGTCGTTAACAATTTTCGCAAAAACACTTTTAACCAAATAAAAAAAACCAAAATGTTTTACTTTTAAGCAAATAAAAACCAAAATGTTTTAGAATATCTTTGAAATTGCTCTGTTATTTTTATTTAATTAATGTAGGTAATTTTCTTTGAAAATCACGAATTTAGGTACTCCTCTCGGGTTGCCGGTGCATCGAACTGGACTGCTGGGACGGCACTGGCGAAAATAAGGTCGGTTTTTGGCTTTTGCCATTAAATTCTACGTGTATTATGACTAAAATACATGTCGCAAGATACTGTAGAATTGATACATTTTATTTTTTACGTACTCCAATTTTTTGCAGGGCGAACCGATCATCACCCACGGCAAAGCCATGTGTACAGACGTGTTTTTTAAGGTTTGTTGCTAACCGACAACGGAACATTAGTACTATGGAAAGGCAATCATAGTTATTATTTTATGAAACATTCAGCAAACACAGAGAAAATCGCTATGTTATTGATATTTAACTTTTATATTTTATTGCTCTAAAGATCTGAAAGATGCTGAAAAAAAGGAAAATAATTGAGGCGAAAAATGATTTAAAGGTTCGACAAAATTTAATTAAGCTAAAATGATTTTCGACAAAATCATATGACGATAAAATGAAAATGAGCCCCAGGCCATACGCAAATGCCTGCCGAAATAATAAATAGCACGAATCAAAAAGTTCAAATTTAAAAATGATTTTTGTAACATTAAATGTTTCGCCCCATTGTATGCTTTGATGAGAACCGGTTTTGGGAATGATACGCGTTGGCACATCTCCCCTAAAATCCGATAAAACGATCTGCTATCAGTATGTCGAGATTATAATTTTCGAAAAGCGCTGTGTAAGCGACGCGAAAAAGCACGCGAAATTTCGACAAAACGAAATTTCGAAATAATTATTTCTACAAAATGATTTTTAACAAAATGAAATTTCGGCAAAATGAGCTTTCGACAAAATGAAAATAAGCCTCCATATTGCACTGAAATGGTTCGTAAAAATAACAAACAACACAAATAAAAAAAAATAAAATTTGAAGGGATTTTTTGACAATGTTAAATGAGTCCATGCATTGTTTCGTCAGGCAAGGGGCTCAGAATTGCAGAATTCCGGCCGATTGCTCATCCTAAAATCCAATAAAACATCAATTTTTTGCAGGACGTACTGTACCAAATCCGCGACACGGCCTTCATGAGGTCGGAATTCCCGGTGATTCTCTCCTTCGAGAACCACTGCTCCAAGAGCAACCAACTCAAAATGGCCAAATATTGTTGCGACATCTTTGGCGATATGCTGCTGTCGAAACCGCTCGACGAATCGGCGGTGGGTTAAGGTTATAAATTGAATTTTTGGGGCTTTTTTCATTAACCGGGGGTCTGATAGTTTTTAATATTCCTTAACGTCAAAAATTTACAAATTTGGAATAGAAAAAGACAAAAAATTAGATTTTCCGACCAAAAACGCCATTTTCGCCCAAAGTTTAAATTTTTTAAGGTTTCTAAAATGCTTTTTCCATTTGAAATAGAAAAATATCCTACTAAGAAACTATTACAACGCTATATTATGACTTTATCAAGCATTTCTGGGGCGTAAACTAAAATAAAAACCATACTTCACGAAAACATTTTCCCTTTTAGTTGGAGCCCGGCGTCCCGTTGCCCTCGCCGAACCGGTTGAAGCGCAAGATTTTGATCAAGAACAAACGGCTTAAACCGGAAATCGAGAAGCATCAACTCGAGCAGTTTTTGAGGTAACTAAATGATGTTGATCGAAAAACTCAATTAAGTGTTGCAAAAACTTTCCATCAAAAGCTTTTCCCGTAGCATATATTATTCAGAAGTGCATCTGGGAAAATTGTGCATATTTTTGTTTTTATCTGATCTCGCTTTTACATGCGTTTTTTGGAGCATTTATATGCGGCAAATTATTTCAAAAGAAAAATTGGATTGGGCAATCCTAGATAAAACATATCTTTTGAAACTGAGCGGCCGAGTTCTTCAATCACATTTTTACTAAGGGGCTACTGTATTATCGGGGGGAGCTTTTATCCTTAAGATTTGATTTTTCTAGCATAAATAGAGGCAGTTTTTCTGAACTGTTTTTGCTATTTCTTAACGTCAAATTTTACAAATGTTTATTAAAAAATACAAAAATAACAATTTTTTGACCAAATTTTCGCCTTTATATTTCTTTTTATTTTTCGATAGCTTTGACAAATTTGCATCGGTTTAGTAGTGTAGGCAGCCTTGGGATAATTATACAAACGAATCAATCCGGGAGAGTTTTAATCAATGAAACATTTTTTGAAAATTCAGATTTTTGGAAGCAAAAAACTTGCCAAATCATATGTTAGATTAAATAATCCGATCTGTATAGTAAATTCATCCGATGAGTAGATATTACCGTAATCATCACTTCCTATATTTTTTAGAGAGGGCAAGCTCGACGAGGACGAGGAGCTGAACGAGACGCCGGACGTCGTCGGCGAGGACGCCGTATCTCCTCGTAAGTTGAATTAAACTTATTTAAAATACTTAGTATTAATCTTAAATTTTTTCTAGTTAGTAAATATCAAATTAGCCCTAAATCGATTTTACAAAATTTTTAAATATTTATTTTTTGCTAGTAGCTTGGCGCTTTTAATTTTTTTGAATTGGCCCCGCCCTTGGCAGTTGCGTTTAAATTTTAATTTTTTCTTTAATTTTGCATAGTGCATTTTTATATACTTTTGAATTTTGCAACGTTATAACCGGGAAAGTGCTTTTGCATGCGGTATCTCTTCAATAATTATTTTTCTTTGCTTAAGTCAAGGTTTTAAAAAATGTATCATACTTTTTTTAGCTTCAAAAAATCACATTAGAAAACTGTGCACACCGTAATCCTTCCAAAAACTTTCAAAAAAACTTTTCCCACCTCACAACCCTCTCTGACCCTTTACAATCCAGACAACCCGCTGTTTTTTATGGAATTTTCATGGCTATGTATATTAATTAATAATATATATTTCCTGTTCTTCGTCGTTTGAGGATAATTTAAAGGGATTGTGAAGTCAAAAATCTATCGAAAACGCTATAACATAATTAGTTGAAGATTTACATTTCAAATTGTTTTCAGCTCCCGAAAACTCAAAAAATGTTTCAAAAAACAAAGAAAAGTAAAAATTAAGCTTCTACGTATTCTATGGAATTTTTCGGCTGAAAAATGATGAATAAAAATTATATAATGACATGGTAAAAAATATAACTTCTGATTTATTACTATTAAATACTTATTAAATAATCGTATATTTTTTACTTCTCAATCCCTGTAAACTCGCCTGGAAATCCGTGTTTCAAAATGAATTCTTGTCCGGTAAATATGTTTTGGCTTAATATCACGTATTTTGCTTCATCTAGCCAATTTTGATATTTCGAAGTCTATGAATTTCATATAACTAACACCGTATTAAATTTTAGAAGCCGTTTTCTTATTATTTATATTAAAGGGAAATGATTCACTCATTTATAAATTACAAAATTGCAAAAACACGGATTTCCAGCCCGGACCCCCCAGTTAACAACCCTCCTCTTTCTGTCTAGCCCTCACCTTAAATACACTTCTAGAAAATGACAAAGTAATATAGAGACTAAATGCTTCAAAATTTAATAAAATACTAGAACTAAAATCGTAATTAAGGGCAATATATATTTATTAAATAATTAAAAATGCTTCAACCATGTCCCTGGTCTCTAGCTTGTTCTCCCAATGTCGCTTGAACCAAAAATGTATAACTTTCATTAAAATTCTTAAATCAAAGGAACCTATAGAAACAAAAATTCAAAACTAAAAATAAAAGAAACCAAATTCTAGTTTAGGGAGAAAAAGTTGCGATCCAGCAATTAAGGAGCAAATTATCACCGTTTTCTTTCAGATTTTGCGAAACATTTTTCATTCCTATTTTAATTTTGTTAAGTCAATTTTTGCAGTTCGGGCTAAATTTATAAGTTCTTGCAATAAGTATAGGCGGTAAATCACAGTCGTATTTCTTACAAAAGTAAATTTTTCTGATCGCGGCAGCGCGCTGGATTAAAGCATTTCGTCTTACAGTGTAATCGCTTCTGGGAAAACATATATTTTTTGGAACGACGTTGCGGTTGGCCACGTTTTCGTTCAATCATTTTTTTTATCCGTGTTAGACAATGACCACCAAGTAGTGAAAAACTGTTAGCTCGACCCAATTCGAATATATACCGAAATTTTTACATTTTATGATTTAAGCCGGGAAGAGTTCTCGATTAAATTTGGGGAATTAGAAAATAGCTTTAATTACTTCTCGGCTTGAGCGGGAAAGGGTTTTCAACAACATTTCGGAAGGTAGAAATTAAATTCCGGATACTACGGGACTCCTACAAAAACTGTACTTTGAAAGCTCATGTGGATAAATTGTTTCCGCCAAAACATTTTTGTTTTTGACAGATCTCGGAACATTTTTTCGTAACCACGTAGGAACTTCTTCTGAAAGAGGAGCCAAAGCGAGAGCGAGAGAGAGACAGCGCGTGAGAGAGAGAGAGAAAGCGAGAGAGTAAGATAGAGATAATCAAGAAGAACTAGATAACTAAAATATCTAGCCATCTATATAAAAATTAAATAGTATTAATAATAACCATAAAACTAAATAAAACCATATAAACGGGTTGGGCGCGTAGATGTTGGCGTGGCCGAGGCGGGCGAGACGTCCGACGAGGAGGAACCGTCCTCCTCGGTGTCGTCGGCCCGTCACTCGGGTGCATCTGGCACTCCGATGGGGCGTCTCCAGAAGGAAGGGACGACGAAGAGCCCGCGGTTCTCCCTGCGCAACGCGTCCTCCTCATCCGCGTCGCCACGCACCCTGCCGCCGCATTGCCTAGGTTGGTATGGGGTGAAGTTCTGTTATTTCGTTTTTACGTTAAAAATCTAAATATACGAAAAATATGCATAAAAATAGGCGATTAAGTTAATCTTTATTTATTTATACGTGTGCCTTTGTGCCGTGTCGGTCCTGTCATTAATATGGCTACGTCCGGTTTGCTGTGTCGCGTGGCTTTTGCGTGCGAAATTGCGTAATATCTGAAATCTTAACGTCGACAATTTAAAACGTCGAAAATCATAATGCTAAATTTCATGATGTCGATATTTCTTAGTGCCGAAATATCATAATTGGAATTTCGGAATGCCGAAATTGGCATAAAAAAGCTCCCCGAAAAACCCCTAAATCATAGGCGAAAAATTTCGACATCTTCGCCTTCGACGGTACGAAATTTTGCTATTTAAATATTATGATATTTGCTAGATTAAAATAGCCAATCGTGGCTTTTTTTAACCAACACCAGGGTTGAAAAACCGCTTCGCGGCTTTTCAACCCTGGCCCCGTCCTCTCCAATGATATTCTTGGCTTTGCATAATCTTTCCGAATTCGGATGACGAAAATTAAAAATGCTCTTGTCGTCCCTTTATATAGGCTACCGCGACTTCCGGTGCATGCTAATTTGATCCTAACAAATTGGGGTGTCCGATTTTCCATGAAAAACTTAATTTTAATGTTGAAAACATCATATTTTGTAAGATCTGATATATGTGCAGTCATCTCCAGCCCATTACGCACCTAATGACGTATCGAACATACCCGTAAGTACTTCCCCTCTTGAGATACTACTGGAACACGCTGACGGAAGTTGCATGCAAATGCACACACACACACACACACACAGACACTATTTTTTTATATATAGTAGGATTTCTTACCAGTTTGCATTCCATAATTAGACCGATTTAGATCTTTACACTTGCCTCGCACTAAAGCCGTCAAGCTAAACTGCTGCTAAACCTTTTCAAGAAACATTTTTTTGTAGAGATATTTTTTTCGAAATTGTGTTTTAACTTTCTTATAGTACAACTTTTGCTAATTAAAGCGATTCTAACGTCGTGGAGTTCTTAATTAACTGCATTTCTTTAACCAAAAGTTACAACGAGTTCCTCTAGAAAAATATGTTACATTTTAACATGTAGTTCCTAATTTTTGTGGCGGAATATTGCTGCGAAATCATCCGTATTCTTGAGATGTTTATAAGAAATTAACATAGACGATCTAGCTAAAAATCAAACCAAAAACAAAGCTAATTTGCAATCTAAAAACTAAAAGAAAATCGAGCTCAAAATTTCGAAAACTACTAATACGAAACAACAAATGTGATGAAACGGTAGCATCGTCAATTTTATATCCTTTCTCGTTATTTTGGTGATAAAGTAAATTGAATAATAAGAATTAAAATTAACTGTAGATATCAAATTGATGGTAAACATGAACTAATTAACGGATTAAAATTCAGCCCAATTACCTTGTCAAAACATTCATTTTCTGCGATAGCCATTGCATGCAGCATGCCCTCCACCCTGTCCCCCTTGGCTGCCGCCCGTCTTTTCGGCATGCTCCCTTGCACAAAGTATTTTTAGGGATTTTAACTATAATTAAAAAAGCTAAAAATAGGTTCGATTTTTGGGAAAAGTATCTGCTACGTTTGGGTCAGGTCGGTGGAGCTTGGATTCGAGGACATCAGCGTCTTCATATTATATTTGCTAACGATTTTAGGAATTTGTAGAGAACTGAAACACGCATTTTTTGACGAACATCGGTTAGAACGCACTTTCTATGCAATATAAAAGCGGTAGCGATAATGTTCAAGCTTAATTTCTCTAAATTCAGAGAATTAAAATTCAAATTAAATCACCCAGAGGAAAATATTATTAAGTTTCACCTGTCTCATCTTATTAGCACTTCTCAATGATATTTCGAACTAACATCATGATTGGAGCATCATTTTAGCAGCAAACATCAATCTGACAATGTTGGATATTGCTCGGCTAGGAAATGCAGAGATTTTTGTACCAGAAAGGTCGAAAATGCTGCCTGAAAAAACCATTTTAAAACCGTTAACGGTTTAAACAGCGTCAATTGATATAAAAAAAGTTGTTTCCGAACTATTTGTGCATCGAGGTTAGACCGTTTGGATAATTCGTGGTGGCCTGAACTATCCTATAAATATTACAGAATATCCAGAGAAATTTTCAATAAGGTTACATTTTCCTAGCTCCACCGACTCGATTTCAAAATTGGCAGCTGCCTGCCGACTGTGTACGCGTTAAATGTCGCCCGACGGGTACCGTACCCCGGGCTGTGCTGTACGAAAAATCAATCCTTCGCCGTTTGACCGCCTTACATCCAGCCGCTTCGAAAATAAGACCAGGGGTGTATCGGATTCTCAATACTACCGTAGTGGTGAGATATCACAAAAAATACGTTTTGTAGCTAACTATAAGATAGCCGATATACGCGCTAGAAATTTTGGCAAAACAGTGTTTTGACTTAACTCAAAACCAACCGCAGGTACGGGGCTATAATAGTGTGTTGGTGTTTTGTAAATTCCAATGTAAAACTACCGGGTTCTTTCGCATTAACGGGGGGAGCTTAATTTGCTTTTCAATTTCGTCGAAAAATAGGGGTTATTTTCATAATGCCGAATGTTCATTAGGCCGAAGGCTTATAAAGTCGGATTTTTCCGAATTTTTAAAACGCCGAATTTTCATAACGCCGAATTCTGTTTATGGATGCTAATGTGCAAGTCTTCAACACGAAAATTGTGGTTTTGGCAATCAAAGGCATACAAAATAAGATTAAACAATTCTAGACATTCGGCGATATAAAAATTCCGCTTTAGAAAACCGCAGAATCGGTATTTTTTTATTTTTTAATAAAAATTCTCAAGTTTTTGCATTTAGAAAGAGTAAAAAAATTAGTTTCGAAGCATCCTCTATTTACATAAGAAAAATTAGGCCTAACTAAATGCAAAATCCGATTTTTGGGAGCCATTGGAGGTAAGGCTGCCAAATGCCGAGGGCGTGGTTTTTTGGAAAAACCCCGTAAAATGCGTGTATGTCCGGCTGCTAGCCCTTGTGTTCTCTTGCTCTCTCTCCGTTTGCCGTTGTTCAGCATCCGACCAGCGTGCCCATCCCGAGCGTGAGTCTACCCTGGTGGCCGCTTCATTGTCTGCCTCGGCTTCTGTGGCATCGTGTCTCTCACCGCCTGTCCCATCGATACATACCTCTGGTGGAGGAGGTGGACAAGGTACAACATCGTCAAAAATCGCTATCGTGGTTAAAAATAGGTTAATTTTCTCGTTGATATAAGTCGCGGAATATTTTTTAAAATGCGTTTAACTATTTTACTAAACGTAAGAAATAAAACAGACAAAAATATCGATTTTTTTCGACCAAAAATGGCCCTTTTAACAAAAATTTCGATTTTTTGAAGAATTTTTCGCGGTTTTTAGATAGTTTTTCTAGTTAAAATATTGAATAAAATATATTACATACTATGGAAGTACTTTTGTTTAAGGGACTATATCCGGATACGGGACGCCCGATAAGGCGAAGCAACAAAAAAAAGAATGTAGGAGCATAATCCCTCGTAAAATTCACAATTATGGATTTAATAAGAGGTCTTTCTCCGCATCCTCGGACCTCACTAGCGAGTAGTTAATGAATAATCGGAAATCACAGCCATTCCTTACAAAATGACGGTATTATATAAAACTAATAGAATTTATTAAGTGGATGATACCGAGATACCGTGCACGTGGATGATGTGACGTAAAAAGCACGAAAAAACATAAAAAAACGGTATTTCAAGCAAAAAAAACACGAATTAATAAACGGTACTAAATAGTGATCATACCAGATGGTTACAGTCGCTTCGCGACTGCAACCATCTGGCCTTCGGGCTACCCTACATGTCTCACTCCACTACATCCTTTCCCACCTCCATCAATGCCCCCCATGGCTGAAATCCCCTTCAAAAACTACCTAAAGACCTTCCTGATGGCTTCAGATACCCCCCATGGCTGAAATCCCCTTCAAAAACTACCTAAATACCTTCCTGATGGCTTCAGATACCCCCCATAGCCGAAATCCCGTTCAAAAACTACCTAAATACCTCCCCGATGGCTTTAGATGATTTAAATAATTAATTAACATAATTAAAAAGTATTAAAAAGTATTAAAAAGTATTAAAGTAACTTAAAAAAGCTATCTGAGCGCGGGAAAGGGCCTGGGGAAGAGGGGCGAAGGGAAAGGGGGCGTGGCCTCCCGGGAGCTGGGGCCCCCACCCCTTTTACTAAGGAAAAACTTTCAAAGTTAATTTTAATAATTTAAACTAAAACTTTTTCGTAATTTTTTTATCAGTTTGGGGGTTTCTGACGGCGCTCTATCCGAATCCGAAGAGAGCTAAGCTCTAGCTCCTTTCCCCTTCGAGTTGAATTCGGCTTCACACAGACGGACGGACGGACGGAGACCACAGTAAAATTATTATAGTTGATTTTTTGTTGTTAGCGAGGAGTTAATGAGTACATCAGACCAATACATATTTTCGGGATTTTATGTTTTCCTGAAAAAGGAATGTAACGACATAATGAGCATTTCGAGGCTACAGAAGACCTGATTATCATAATCAAAAATTACCCAACCACCCATATTCACGCAGAGAACGCTAAAAAACATAACGTCAGAAACGACAAAAAAAGAAATTGAAGATACCGACCCGGCAGCATATAGGAAAATCTATGAAACATGAAAATTATCCTGCCACCATCCAGGCACACAGAGAGCGACGCAAAAGAAGAAATGATTTTTGTATTAGGAAGAACAGGGATGTATTACATGGGTTCGAATCCCGTCTTTTTGTTTTGTTTTTTTTGCAGGAAGACATGCTTTTTCCATCCCCTCTTTAATAATAGTACCCGTCGAAAAAACAGTATCAATGAGTCGACGGGTTTTCCGTTCGGTAGGCAACGCTCTGAAACATAAAAATTGCGCGATCACGCATACAAACGCGTAGCGAGACGTATGTACCAGATAACATTTTTATTCAAAAAAAAACAGCAAAAATTCAATATTGTAACTTGTGTGAAAGGCTGCGAGTATCATAAAGCAGCCAAAGACATGAGAGTTGGAAGAGTGTTAGGATTTTCCGTTGGGCAGGCGACTCCATGAAACATAAAAATTCACAACCATAGATAGAGTTCATACCAGCGTGTGGAACTATGCAACACAAAAATTGCGAGACCACACATACAAACACACCGAAATAAACATCAGAATAGAGAACCTTTTTTCACTTAAAAGGTGTAACAGGCCATGTTGTCTGGAGGCGTGTAAGCTGCATAGTTCATGAGTTGAACGCAGTCTAATTGAAAACATGATAATACCCGATAGCTACGGAAATATTTGAAACACAAAAATTACCCAACCAAATACAAACACACAGAGAGCGGCAGAAAAACAGGGAAGAGAAGCGGAGACAGAATTTCCAAAAAAAGCACGAGGACGGCCGGTTGTCAGGGGGTGTTTATATTCATAGTCTGAGACAGATCCCCATTGATGAGACCGATACCCCGCGAATTAGAAATATTTGAAACACAAAAATTACGAAACCACAGAGCGACAGTGCCAGGGAGATCCCCTGTTTTTATTACATAGAGCAAAGCAAAAATAATGGCATGCGTTGTCTGGAGCCGTGTAAGATGTATAGTTTTAGAGTCCAAAACCAGCCGCATTGAAAACATAATAATACCCGATAGCTACCGAAATAGATGAAACACAAAAATTACCCAACCACATACAAACACACAGAGAGCGGCAGAAAAACAGGGAAGAGAAGTGGAGACAGGATTTCTGTAGAAAAAACGATACTGAAAAGCGCGAATACGGTGAGCCGTCAGGGGGGTGTTAGATGTTTAGCCAGGAAGCAACAGCCAATCGTATTGAAGACTTGCAGATACCCGATAATTTGGCAATATATGAAACACAAAGATTCTGAAACCACACAGACCGGCCGAAGACGGGAGACAATGAAAAAATATAAAAAACCAAAAACAAATGGTTTGGAAGTAGCGAAGGGCATTCAAGAGCATTAAAGAACGAACTATTGCAGCAGCGATTTCATACCCGGAAGGTATGGAATTTACGAAACACAAAAATGCTGCTCTTCTGTCTCGGGCCAGTTCTGAGGTTACCGAAGAACGGAAAAATGCTACCAACATAGAAATTACAAATTCGCATACAATAAACACATCACCAGAAGAAGAAACAATTTCTAGATTACAAATATAGAATGGGGTTAAATAAGGTAAGTTCTACGGAAAAACAGTACGTGCCTAGGTGACGATACAGTAATTGGATAAATAAATCTTGCAATCATTTTGAAAATATATGAAACACACTTTGTTTTAATAGCGTTTGCTTGCCGTATCTGGCCCGGCTTTTCCGGGCCTACAATCCCCCTAGCTTCTCCCCCGTGGCTTTCCGTTTGGGTATGCGGTGTACGCGTGCGTATGCGTATATGTATCCATATATATTTTTATTCTGGCTGCAAGGGTGCATTTGCGTTATTTTGTGCGTGTGCAAGTATGGCTGAAAATGGAGTGGCTTTACCATTAGTCAGATTGACATCGAAAAAGGCACATTGAATGTTTCAAAGAAATTGCTGGTGTAGGGTAAATTGCCAAAAACAATCGTTTTTTTCGCAATTCCTTGATTTTACGCTCAATCTGCCATTCACTAGCTAAAAAATACAGGATAAGTAACCTTTAATGCGCCTTTTCCTGTGTCAATAGGAAAAACAGTCATTTTAGAAAAGGCAGTTTCGGAATATTGCAAAACCATTTTTAAAATAGACAATGTACTGGTGGGTTTCTTTACGACACTTCACTTTTTAGCTAAAGAGATTCAGGTTTTGTTTTTAGTCCATATTGATTCGAGCTAAACCAATAAATTTCGAAAAGCGCTTAATGCAAATTTATTGAATTTTTAGCATTGGGTTATGAAAACACAAAAACAATGTGTTTCTCGACATTGTATGGAAAAATTTATTATGGGAGAAATTTAATGTTCGACTACTTGATTTTGAAACTTGCAAAATTGCTGATTTAGCAGAATCCGGCAGCAAGGACGCCGACGAGGCGCACCCCGAGCTGAAGCAGAACACCAATTTTATGGCCAAGCTGAAGCCGTTCACCAAGAAACAGGTCAGAGAATTTATAGAAATTTAGTAAGTACTCGGAATTAAAGCCATACATTAACCGAATTTCAGGGCAATATCGTAGTTCTTAAATCTATAAATCTTTCTAGTTCTCTCTCTCTCACTCTCTCTCTCCCTCGCTTTCTCTCTCTCTCTCTCTCTCTCTCTCTCTCTCTCTCTCTGACTACTCGTTGAAACTTGCAAATCATTGTTTCAACTCGCGGCAAATACCCTTGGCTTATCGCTTTCCCTAACCACCGCCTCACACCCTTTCCAGAAAAAAAAAATATATTTCAGATTTTTCTTATTAAATGTCCATTCGCCACTCATTTTTGTAGTTTTTTTTATCGCGGCGTCTCTCGCCCACCATTTTTTGCTTATCAGTTTTTTAGATTTGGATATTGTAACCCTATTTTTATATTATTATCATTATTATTATTATCATTATTAATATGATTTATTCGGAAAACTTGAAGGGTACCGCGGAATTGGTCGATCACTATGGCATTATTACCAAGAAAATATTTCCGAAAGTAAAGATTTTTCGAAACATTTTCTAAAAATTTAAATTAACAATTGCTTTTTCCTCGAAATGTTTTAGAGCTCCGGTCATAATACCCATTTGTATTACCTTTTATGTTCTTGAATATGAATACTTCGTTACTCAATTGTTAGGTGAAATTCTACTAACCAAACGTATTACCATTAAACGAAAAAATGTTGAGCTTACCCAAGCTATTTTTGACACACATTGCTGCAAAAATTCAAGGGGAATCACATGAAAAAAATTATTTCTTACTGTTATTTAATAATTAATTCCATGATGAATGTTGGTCACAAGTTTAGCTACGATCTTACTTTGCCGGAGCTTTAAAACCACAAAATTAAAAAAATTGGAATGACTGGTAAATCGATAATGCAGAAAATTGTGACCTTGTCCAATTCCGCGGATCCGGCTGGGTGTGTGCGGCGGCTCGGCAAAAGGATGTGAATCCGGAGGGTGGTAGCAGAATTATTTTTAACGGACCTTAAAGAGATTGGACTCACTGGCCGGTGGCCGGTTAATATTTTGCTCAAAACATACTTTTTGAACGAATCGCTATCGATACGAGTATCAATGAAATCGAATCTGTATTTGGAAAAATATGCCGCGTGATTTTGGGTTTTCCTGTCAAGACTTGCGAGTTATTTACAGGAATGCGTTAAACATTGATTTTCACGATATTGGCATTGCCACAAATTAAAAATTAAATGCAAAACAGATCTTTAGTCTCAGCCGATTCTCTCCCATTAAAAGTCTCTGGACCACCTAGCTTGTTTTGTTAGATGGAACGCCGGTCTGTAACGGTCACATTGTTTGAGAATGACGGATTTGAAATTCTAAAAATTAAAACTGCTAGCGCTTGCTGGAGTCATGCAACAACAGTTTTTTAAGCAGAATAATGTGATTTGTCTGGACCAAAAGTTCTTTAAAAATTGAAGTTAGCCACTTTTAAGCGCATCTGAAGGCGGTTTTGGAAATAGAAACTCGTGTCAATACTGGTGCTTTACTTTTGCTACATTTTGCGGAAACCTGAAACATGTTAAATTTTTAATGTTTGTAGGTTCTTTGCGGAGGTTTTGATGAACGGGAAGCGTTCTATTAGGTGAAGGAAGAGGTTTTCGATCTTGCTTAGCCCTGAAACACAATTTTTTTCATTTTTGGAGCTAGAGACAACCAAGGAAATTGAGCTGCGTTAATTTAGATAGATCAAGGATTGTATTTAGTCGATCGTTGTAAAGCTTATTCGCGGGGTTTATCAAAATAATGCATTGATAAGGTCAAACTGGTGATTTTGTTTTCCTAAATTTTGCTAGAAAGTGAAACATGCAATTTTTTGAATTTGTGAGGGTTTGGAACCAAACTACTGCCGATTAGCGCAAGCAAAATTTTTCAAAATTGTTGATCCCCCGAAACACCTTTTTTTTGCCAAGCCGCCGCCCCAAACTGACCCATTTAAAAATCGGTCTCAAAACCCATATCGTATTCCCCGTTCGACCTTTGCCACCGTAGGAATTGGACGTCGGGTACGCATGGGACCGGGGTCCCGCCGAGAAGAGGAGCTTCCGACTGCCCATCGAGAAACGGTCGTTCCGGCTGAGTTTTCGGCCCGGAAACCGGAACACGGCGGCTGTGGAGGATAATGGAGCCTCGACCGGGTCTTCCATGATGTTGACGACAAATTCTGCCCACGATGACCTCTTCACGAGATCCGCTTCCGCCCGAAATCATCCACGCAACAAGAAGGCGCGTTTCGGGCCTGAACACCCTGAAATTCTTTTTTTTGGCATTTGCATCCCTGGTGCCAGATGCAATGTGTGAGGCCGTTACCCTGCCCTGCACAATATTAAACTCCCCCGGAATTCGGAAAATACGGAAAACGGTGTTTTCGTGAGCCATCAAAATTTATTGGTTTTTGACGAGTTTTATGTAGTACAAACCAAATTTATTCAAAAACTATAAAAAGACATTTGATGAAAACATAATGACCTTTATATCGGCCTACAATAATTTTCCAAAGATATTTTTTACGCGTTGTCGGATGGCACTTGCGATGTATACTAGTAATTTCAAACATTAGATCTTGGGGGTGAAATACCTAGTCATTTTTGTCTAAGCCTTACAAAATGTCAATGTTTCAAAAAATTGAAATAAAAATTGTTTTTTATAGGAAGGTAATGTTAGGAAGGAAGGTATCATAATAGGTTCAATTTGTCGGAGGTTCGCATGGTTTTCAATGTTTATAAGCAAAATTAAAGTGTATTTGATTTTTTGATAGGTTTGCTGCCAATCAAACTCATATATTAGGTGCAAAAATGGGAATTTTAGAAAAAAAAACACATTTTTAATTTTCAAATAAAAGTACGTTGATTCTATGATTCACAATTAATTCTATTTGATTTTACTTGCTCACAAAACGGCGTTTTTCCTGTGTTTTCCAGCTATCGTACTCCGAATGGCGTTGCTAATGGTATATTGGGCATCCAGTTCAAAGCACAGCAAAAAATTGGCTTGAAGAATCATGTTTCATATTTTTATTGATTTCGCCCTTCTTGGAATCAGGTAATTCCAGCATACGTTTACCTCGCAAGAATTCAAGGGTTTTACCGGCTTTTGCAGCCATTTTAATTCAACTAGTTTAAACAAAAAAAACTAAATTTTTAATCACATTCGATTATTCACCTGAAAGATAAAATGCGAGGAATTTGGAAATTGAAAAATATGTTTCGAACTTGTAGAAGTATTGGTGCAAAACTTAATTTGTAATATGTATTAGGCAATCGTATGTTTTTAAATTTTCCTACCCCCGATATACCATTCAGCAATCAGCCATTCTTGGGTTACGGTATTCCGGGGGTTCCGCTTTTCCGCCTCGTTCCTAGCGATACACCGGCTTCCCGAGCACCGAACAGCCTGCCTCCTTTCGAACGTATATTAACAATCGCTTCCGCTTATCCTAACCATCAGCGATCCCCAAATCTGACTACACGAGAGTGCTAGAGACGCTATACTGTCCAGGGTACACCTTGGAATTTCTTGAGGAGTGGTTTTGAAAAAGAAGGTTTCGACTCTGGTTATAAGCTAACAAAATTTTTTTTTTGTAATTAATCTGATGATGTTGTCGAAAAATTAGCCGAATTTAATGGAGTGTTTTGGGTAAAAATTTCCTTATTAAACCGTTGGAAATCAAATTAGATTGCTTAGGAAATTCAAGAAATTCATTATCAGTGGAACTTCAAAATTGATGTTTCATCAAAATCACGGCTTTCTCGCCACCTCCCTTAGTTAATGGCTGTCCGCACGTACCGTTTAATTCTTTTCGGAAAATGATGGATTTGGGTAAAATACCCAAAGGGGTGCTTTTGCATTAGCGGGGGGGGACAAACCTTTTACTTAGGATGCGTTTTCTCTAATATAAATCGAGCAATCCTAAGCTTTTTACTATTTCTACGCTTAAAACTATACAAATTTTTATGAAAACATGCAAAAATATCGATTTTTCGGACCAAAGCGTCCATATTTTTACGTTTTTAGGCAGTTTTTCCGCTTGTACTATAGGTAAATTCAACAAAAGAACATCATTCTTTAACGTTACTAAAAATTTCTCCAGTCATACGAAAAAATTAGCCTCCCCCGATAATGCATAACAACCCTAAACAGCAGAAATTTCGACGTTCAAAAAATATGTTTGAACAAAAAGTAAGATTGATAAAAGTGTAAAAGCTCTAATTCGGCTCCACAATGACCGGTTCATAAATTGCTACCTAACCAATACGAAAAATTCTTAAATTCTAAAGTGCTGCTCGGGCAAGTGTAGCTGTCTCTCTCCCTCGCGCGCGCTCTCTCTATTTCTCTCTATCCCTACCCGCTTCGCGAATGTATCCTGATTTCCGCTCTATATGTTCTCCTGATAACCCTCAAGTACCTTCCAGAAAAGCATGTCTACGCCTAACCCAAAATACCCAAATACAGTATATAGTATCTCTGTTTTTCCGTGCTAACATTTTATCATGCCGATTGGGTGGACGGTTCGAAAAATTAAGCGACACTTCAATTATTTGATTCCGAACTTGCGCATTGAGAAGGTAATGTGAAACATATTTTTTCAAAACATCATGCGAAATTCTGATTTTCGAATTTTCCGGATTAGGAATTTCACATTAAATACTATATAATTTTCCATTTCTTTTTTATTTTATTGGTTGACTGAACTGCGGGTAAAAACTATTTTTCGAAGTGTAAAATTTTTTTGATAAATTAGCCCACTAATACAGGCTTGGCTATATTCCAGGAATTGTTTTGTTTAAAGGAAACACAGCAGCATCAATTGTTTTAAGCAGTTATTAGAACTACATTAAGAATATGAAACCGTTCATTGAAACGTTTTTATTTATTCATTTAAAAGCTTTATTAATTTAAAATGTTCTACCACTTATACTGGTTGCGTAAGAACTGAAGACACTTAA